AAGGAGTATGACAGCTACGTATGAAGTGGAAAAATGAATTTCCTCATAGTTTTGAAGAGAAAATGTTGAGCTTTTCCTGTAGCCAGTGTTACAACTTCTAGAAACATCGGCAAATGTGCATATGTAGAGTTAGCTGTGACGCCCCAGTTACTGGGATTGGGACTTAGTCCTGGTGTCAGGGATCACAGTTCTTGAGGTGGGCCATTTGCTGTTAACCACCTGTGAAGTCGGTTCATCACCTCTGTTTTATACCTTAAAACTGTGCTTCCTGAAAGATGAGCGCCAGGATAGCCAGGCTTCTCTCATCTTCCTCTGCCCCAACCTGCACTTAATCCTTTCCCAAGATTTCCCCTTTCCATCTTCCCTCAGTTTATCTAGTAAAGCATGGACATCTGCTTGGGCTGCACACAGGTCACTTGGGTCTTCATTTTGTTATTACGTGGTTTTTTACAACTTCAGGAAAGAGGGTGGGGAAGGTATCCTAGAGGAACCAGGTCAGAATTGTCTCTGTTTCCTGCCTAGAAGCAATGAAAATTTAAAAAAAGAATGTTGCAATGCTTTCTTTGTTTTCTTTCCTGAGACAAAGTCTCACTCTTTAGCTCTGACTGGACTAACTCGATCTGTAGACTGAGCTGGCCTCGAACTCACAGAGAGCTGTCTGCCTTCCATTGCCTCTTGAGTGCTGGGAATAGACCTGCACCTCCATGCTTAACCGAGTAACGTATTTTCTTTTTTTATTTTGGCTGAGCAGTTTTTCTGAGGGTCAAAGAGTGGAAACCACTAAGAATAAAAAGAGGGTGTTCTTTGGACTAAAAGGGGGCCCTTTGTTTTCACCTAATGGTCCCTAAGGGATTACTGAAAGTCAGGCCTTTTTAAAAAGATTTATTTTTTTATGTACATGGGTATTTTGCCTGTATGTACAGCTACATGCACTACATGCATACCTAGTATGATGGATCCCCTGGAACCGGAGTTACAGACAGTTATGAGCTGCCATGTGGGTGCTGGAAGTTGAACTCAGGTCCTGTAGAGAGGAGCAGCAAGTGCTGTTAACCACTGAGCCATCTCTGCAGCCTGAAAAGCCAGTTGAGGGAAGCTGACTAGCTAAGTAGTGACAGACATTGCTCAACATTGGTTGGGGGAGGTGAACTTTGCCAACCTTCACTCCACGTTTACATAGCTTGAGAAGGAGATGGGCAAAACCTCTGACATCCTCCCATAAACGGCTTCCCAGTAACCACCTACCTGTGCCAGAACAAACAGCTGCACTTACAGACTTATATTTATACCAAGATAGTTCTGAAAATTGGAAACCATACCCTTATGTAAATGGGATAATAAAACAGAAGGGAAAAAACATATTGGTATTGTGTCAGGAACTTTCCCAAAGCATATTATTTCAAATACAAATATTTTAGAAAACAAATAATTAAGTTTTTCTTCCTTAATGGAAGATTCCTCCCCAGGGCCTGACCTTGAACATGAAAGAGAAGTGGTTTTATTGATTTTTTCTTTCTCAATAAACAGTAACATATCATTTTCTGAAGCTGTATAAAGATAGATATATTTTCACCTAGTATTTTCAGTACAATGATATATCTGAGAGTCTTAATAAATAATCACTCTTGGGTTTGTCCTCGACGTTAATATTATTACATCACATTATGTTATTAATTCACTCTCTATTTGTTACATCAGTGATTCCAAAACTCTTTTTTGTAACTTTTTTGTTTTGTTTTTGAGACAAGGTTTCTCAGTGTAACAGCTCTGGCTGTCCTGGAACTCACTCTGTAGACCAGGCTGTCCTCAGACTCACAGAGATCCACCTCCCAAGTGCTAGGATTAAAGATGGGTGCCACCACTGCCCAGTCTTTTGTAGAATTCTTGACTTCAAGTGATACTACTACTTCAACCTGTCTAGAAGACTCCTCCTCTTCCCCGTCTTCCTCTTCCTCCCCCTCCTCCCCCCTTCTCCTTCTCGTCCTCCTCCTCAGTTCATTGGAGACATCTTTGACACAAATCTTAAGCACAGAAGTTAACAGAAAGAGAGGTGCTCAGGAAATAAATAAGACATACCCCACACGTGTAAGGAAGAGCTGCCATTAAGTAGCCAACTGCTTTGAAAAAATATAAAACATGAGGCAAGCCATCCCTCACTGCACAAAATGCCCCCACTACTTTGACACCATAAAATAGTCCCCAGAGGATAGATAGTAATATTTTCAGGTGGGACACCAATTAGAACGATCAGAAATCCATAATTAATTCATGCCAGACACAAATGTAGATACAGTTGTTTAATATAACAAGGCAGTCCCAATGCCTTTTAGGGAATAATTGTGTAAGAGCTCTAATGTTATTTTTGTCATGACTATTTTTTTCTGTCTGTGTTCTGACAGGATTCTTCGAATTTTTCATTTCTCTTGGGTCTTTCAGGGGTCAATGTAAAGCTGAGTAGACACAAGAACAAATGTGCACACTGCCCATCTGAAAGGGCATGTTTATACTTCCAGTAATGGCTTTCCTTCTGCTGAGGCAAATTACCTAGTAAAGTTGATTGAGAACAAAATGGCTGCCAGGCCAAGATGGAGGGATGTCATTATTTTTAAAGCATATTCTTTGTCCTTGCTCAAAGTCCTCACAACATACTTGTTCTGCAGTAGCAGCAAACAGCACTGAAGAAGGTGCCTCTGACAGCTTTCACCCTTCTTTGGAGCTTTGCCATGCTCCAACTGAATGTGGGAACAAGTCCTTAAAGGCTGTCTTGCCAATGAAAGAGAAAAGGGAGCATCTGGGAGACCCCTTGACCCTGCCTGTGGAAGCCTGGGGAGAGGAATGCCAGGGAGCCTTTCAGACCTTTCTTTCTCTCTTCCCCTCCCCCAGTCAGCTTTTCTCTCCTCTTGCGGCTCCTTAAAGGATAACCTAAGCTCTGCAAACAATGGAATCTGTTCTTTTGGTCTGTGGAATGACACCTAGCAGCCGAAGGAAGGGGGTTTTCAGAACAAGCACTGACCTGGAAGACAGGAGCTGGGTTTTATCACGACAGGCTATGTGGCCTTGCTCAAGTCACTCATTTTCTCTGAGGTGGTCATTTAATCAATGGACTCCTCCAGGTTCTTGGATAAAGGACTGGATTTCTAGGATTCATTGAAAGGTAAATCCTCTGTGGCACTCGGGAAAGTCTACCGAAGAATGAGGAAAAAAGATAGGGAAAAATGAAAAAGGGTTTTTTTTTGTGTGTGTGTGTGTGTAAGAGAGAGAGAGAGAGAGAGAGAGAGAGAGAGCACATCCGAAGAGCAACATTAAAATCATTAATGAAGAGTTAACTTCTACATTAACTTCTGTGTGTACCCATTCCTCTGTCTTAGATGTTTCCCTCCTTGTATGTGCAGGTGTAAAGTGAGTGGCGTCACCTTAACTGCACACAGCTCACCTCTTTCCTGATCAATCCCATCACTATCTTCATGCAGAATCAGGTGAAAGCAGACTGTCACTTGGTCAGTCATCTCTCTCTGCCCTTGCTACCAATACAAGGTTTTTTTTAAACAGAATTCTCTGGTAAAATTTTGACTTTTGAAAAGATGTGGCGCACAAGCTAACCCTGCTGTCTTTCCTCTTGCATCGGTTCCTTTTCCTCATGATTGACTGTTGTTGCTCTCTTGACTCACTTATGTTGATATTTCTAAAAATGCAGAGAGACCAAGATTATGATCGCCACTGCATCCCAGGACAGGCATATCATAGATGCTTCTGGATCATGACTAAAAGAATAAGAAAAGTCAGAAACGTCTATTTCTAGAGAAAAACCATGATTCTGGCAAATGTACACCATGAATTTCTTGTCTGGGTTTGTCACTATGGTCTGGGAATGGAATCCAGGATTTGTTACATACTAAATAAACAATCTGTCACTGAGCTACACTCCAGCCCTGATTAACTAAACTTTTTGGGCTTGTTTGTTTTTTTGAGACGGGGATCTCATGAAGGCCAGGCTGATCTCACACTCTGTGTAGCCAAGACCGGACTTGAACTCCTGGTCTTTCTGCCTCCACCTCCCTGGAATGCTGGAGTTACAAAGTGTATGCTACCTACCACACTGGCAGGAATTGCCCTCTAATTTTTTATCAACTTGGATGCTGGTTGTGATTTTCTAGGCTATGTTTTCACCTAAAAATTATACTCAGAGTCTGTATAAGAAAACACTTTTTAGAGGCATGTAGATCTCTGTGAGTTCAAGGCCAACCTGGCTACAAATCGAGTTCCAGGACAGCTAGGACTATACGGAAAACCCTGTCTCAAAAAAAAGAAAAAACACTTTAAATAGTATCAATATTTTCAATTGTTGACATGGCAGCTCAGTATAAAATTGCTATCCGAACAGAGAGAATTCTGTATACTTGGCAGTCTTTCCTAAAGGCAAAGCCTAAGACTGGACTAGCAGGAATTCATAGGTCAAGACAGAAGGGCATTTGGCAGAGTTTAGTCATGAGGAAGTCTGCCTGGTACACTTTACCAGAAGCAGCTCACATTGCATGAAGCCTTGAAGTTTCAGTCACTTTAAGTAATTCTGCTGGAGAGAACTAGACACGAAGTAAGACACATCTTGAAGGAAAGGGTATTAACAGTATTTGCCTAGTAATTTCAAAATAACCTTTTTGTTATGTTAAAGCAGTCTGTTTTCTTGCGTGCAGTTGCCTTCCCATAAAACTCTCTCCAATGAATAACTAAATATGTTCATTTACAGATTCTATTTCGTGGGATGGAAGTGTTTTCAGGAGCAGGTTTTTGCAGAACTTAGCTACATTAACCCTTTACATTTATAAACAAGGGAAAGAGGTCCAAGTCACTTTGTCGGTTTGAAGAGAGCTGGCCCTCAAATATTCAGGTGCCTTCAGGTGCAAACCGGCATTCTTCCTTCTTTCTACTACTGACTACCAACGGAGATAATTGGCTTGGTTTTAACTTTTGTTTTTCAGAAAACCAAAGAGGTGTCCAACAAAATGGATGCTAGACGAAAGCACTGGAAAGACAATATGCTCACTCCCCTTGTTAATGAGCATGATGTTCTAGAAGAGGCTGCTCCTCTTCAGTCTTACTCTGAAGAAACACCTGCAAACAAACCCAGGAGGATGGGGAGAATTTCTAACTTTTCCAGTAGAAACTTTCATGAAGGAAGTAAATTTAAGAGAAAAGACTATTGTTCCCAGATAGTGGAAAGAGAACACAACCCGAATTTACGAGAGAGAAGGATGAACACGCCAAAGAATGTGGCAAACACAAATGCTGCTGCCTGGGACTTGCGTGATTGGGATGGTGCAACCAAGGAAAGTTCTCACAAAAGGGAGAGTGCCTCCGCGTGGAATAAGAAGGAACTGCGGGCTGCAGCACATGGCACCAGGAAGAAATGGACAGAACCAATCCCTCCAAAAGTCCGCCTGCACCTCCTGAACGAGGAGCTGGGAGATCTTAACCTGAAATGCCGGGCGATCGAAGAGGACTTTGAAAATGCTGAAAAAGAACTTTTGAACTCTCGAAAGGAAGCCTCGACGAAATCTGTCAATTTTCAAGAACCAGGAACGGCTGCTTCAAAGAATGACCGGGAAATGCAAGCTTTAAGAAACGACCTGTCTGAAAAAGCTACAAACGTGAAAAACTTAACCGAAGAGCTCCATCAAGCCAAAGAAGTCATGTACAGGTTGAATCTGGAGAACAGAAACTTGAAAGACGCTGTCAAAAAAATGAAGCGTGAAACTGAACTCAGTACCGCGCTCCTGAGGGAAGAGATGAAGTTGTTTTACGAGCTGGAAATGGAAAAGATCCGCTTAGAGCTGGGTGCCCTCAGGAATGAGCTGAGAGCTGAGAAATCCCAGCGAGCTAAGAACACCAGAGCCCTGGAGTTGCTTGGAAAACATGTTGCTTCCCTGGTAAGGTCACCGCATACAGCTGACCACTTTACTGGGAATGTTTTTTAAACTTAAGAGAAAAATAAAGCCTTTCGCCAGGCAAGCCATTGAGTCAAATCGATGTTTATTGTACCATGTATTTGTGTACTGCTAAAATGTATTTGATAGCTTGTAATCTTTACGGTGAATCAGAATACCTACAAATAATGCAGATGTTAACTTTGAAATGACTGGTTTTGTTTTTGTTTGTTTTTTCTTTCCGATGAAGTTATTGTGAGAATCTGAATGGAAACTCCTGAAACCTCTTTATTTATATGGGTGCACATATAATATCGGTAAAACAAAACAACACCAAAACCCCCAAAGTATTCACCAGGTCATGGGGAAATCAGAATCAGCAGCATTGTGTGATCTTGTAAGCCATGTCCTTGACATATCGATGTTTCTCCCATCCGTGGTCATCAATGTGAACAATAAAAGTTTTGTTTACATGGATAAGCATAAAATATGCCTGTGAGTTTTGTAGTTGCCTGCTCAAACTCAGCAGGATAAAAATGCATTCACTTTCTTTGGGGTCTAACCTTAATTAGGCACATGTAAACATCTCAGGAACACAGTCTCTCCTGCTGACTTCCCCATGCTTTTTCCTTGGACTTGGACACAGTTCCCAGAGACAAAGGATGATTTAGAGTCACTGTTCTGACCTTTGCTAGAAGCAGGGCTTCTTTCAGCCATGGCTCTTGCATTTTCTCTCATTGGCCAGCAAGGGGCGTTTTGTTTACACAGTTCTTCCAGAGTTCTGCCAGGGAGAATTTTCCAAGCTTCTTGTCTGGTTTCCATCACTGAGCTAGGGCTTCTGTGAAAGGTGTTAGATGTCATCTTGACAAACGTCTAGCATGCTGGCTTGATTTAGGTCATCACCCACCCCTGTAAGGGGCCCAGAAAAAAAATGGTAATTTGCTTTTTATTTACAAAGAGGGAAAATATGCTGTCTCTGTCCTTCAGTGGAAATGATGTCCCAGGTTAATTCTCTGCAATCGTGGTGTTGTCCATCAAGATTTCTGGCAATCAGAGACTTACTTGCATGGCATTTTTTTGGAGATCATAATATAATTACATCATTTCTTCCTACCCTTTCCTCCATGTAAACCACTCACATACCCTGCTTGTTCCCTTGCAAATTCATGGCCTCCCTGTTCATGAAGAGTTGTTACATACCCATATGCATATGAAGGTATAGTCCTAAATATAACCTGCTTAGTCTGCATAACGCTATTTGTATGGATGTTTTCAGGGCATTTAGTTGGTGGGCTCTTCTCTTAGTTTGCTGTCGTTCTTTGTGTAGACCTGGGGCCTTGTGGGCTTTCCCCAGTCCATTTTGGCGTGTCTATTCCTGTTGTCCTTGTTCAGATCATGTTTAGGCAGTCATGCTGGTGTGGCTTTATGGGTGCAGCTTCTGACACTCCTAGGAGACACAGTCTAAAAGAAAACTCCCTGATCCTCTGGCTCTTACAATTTTTCCGCCCCTCTTCCAAAATGTTCTCAGAGACCTAGGTTCAGAAATTGTTTTATAAATGAGTCTATCAGGGCTGTGCTCCATAACTGCATTTTGATTGAGAGGAGTACTTATCTGTGAATATAAGGACAAGCATTTAGAGTGTAGTTAGGGGTTATACTGGTTCTCCAAGATCTGTAACTTCACTGGCCCTGTTTTTTTATGTAGTGTATAGAAACAAGGGAATCTCTAATTATTTTCATAATTTTCTTCATATGGCTGTTTTGCATGCACAAATATATGTGCACCACATATGTGCCTGGTGCCTATGGAGAGAAGAAGGCATCAAATCCTCCGGAATTGGATTACAGGCAGTTGTGAACAGTGAACCCTGGAAATCAAACCCATGTCCTCTGGAAGAGCGGCCAGTGCTTTTAACCTCAGAGCCATCTCACCAGCCCCTTATTGGGATCTTTTTAAGCCCAAATGAATCGAATGTAATCACAGACTACGAGAGTGGGCTACAGTCAGAAAGGTGGGGAAATCCCCAAATGGGGAGTCAGGATCCTCTGATCTCTAGCACTAGCTTTCCCATTGACTATTTCATTTCCTCTAGATCGAAAAGCCCTAATCTATACAATGAGAAAGCAGATCTGTCATAAAGATGCTCTTCAGAGCCGACTATGGTGGTGTGGGCCTGTAGTTGCATCACTCCAGAGGCAAGAGCAGAGAGCTCACTGGAGCCTAGAGGTCCAAGGCCAACCTGAGCATCATATAATACCTGCATCATTTACGAAGCATTCTGTTCAAGTTTTAGGTAGTGACTTCAACTTAGTGATTTTTATTCGAAAGTATAGCTAACTGTATCTGTCAGGAGATGAAATTGTTGTGGCATCAGGCACATTCAATTCTAATATTCTGGGCACCTGTGCTTCATACCTGCCTTTCCAAGGAAATGCATACAGGATCTTTATGTTATTTCAACATCTCCAAACATTGTGCCAGTAAATCTGTGGAACAAGTTAAAGAGGTTGTTTCTCTTTTCTCTTATTGTTCTTTATTCATTAAGACCAGGGAAGGTAATGAATGGAAACAAAGTCAGCTGACCCAGAGGCCAGGCAAGGTTGCCTGGCCAGGGAAGACTGGATTCAAGTGGAAGATATCAACGTTGGTGCTTTCTCACTTAGTCAAAAAGGTAATGCAGGCACTGGTAGCCTGCTTCAAAGCAAAGAAGATGTTTGTGGCTTTAGTGGTCACTCTGACTTCCCACCAAGAGTCTAGCTGCAAAAGGAAACTAGGAGTTCTCTGCCCTAATTGGATCATTTGTCCTTCAACACACTCTTAAAAATTGCTCATTTGTCTTTGCCCTGTAAAGGTGTACATTCCTTAATAATAGTATGCTGAGCTGTCACAGTGTGCTATACCACCAAACTCAATCATTCAATACCATTCTGTTTTTGTGTATGTGGTGCTGGGAATCAAACCCAAGGTCTTGTTTATGCTAGAGCAAGCACACAGCCACTGAGTTATACTTCCACCATTAATGTATTTCTTTTCCTTCCTTCCTTCCTTCCTTCCTTCCTTCCTTCCTTCCTTCTTTCCTTTCTTCCTTCCTTCTTTCCTTTCTTCCTTTCTTCATTCCTCCCTTCTTTCCTTCCCTCCTTCCTTCCATTTTTTGAGACAGACTCTCAGCGTGTAACCCTTGTTGACCTCCAACTCCAAATCCTTCTACATTACTTTCCAGTTGCTAGTGAAATGTACACGCATTTTTAAAATGGGGTTGGCACATTAGATCAGTCATCCCTTTAGTTTGTTGAGTGTAGAATTTGAAACCAGCAAGTACCACCAAGTCCGTAATTCTTCCACCAAGAAACCTGGGTTGTCAGTATTATTGAAATGTGCTCCAGCTAAGGCTCCAGATCTATAATAGTTTGCTGAGCCTTTATTATCATAGCTCCTTATTAGTTTTATAAATATTTTAATTGTGTACCTGGTGTATGTGTCGGGGTGGGGGTGGAAGCCACAGATCAATAGTAGTTGTCTTCCATCACTCTCCACTTTATTTTGGGGTCTCCCACTGAACCTGGAGCTCACCAAATGACTAGACTGAATGGCCACTGAGCCCCCGGCTTCCTCCTGTCTCTGCCTCTCAGTGCTGGATTACAAGCACACACTGCCATGCCCAGCTTTATGTTGGGCTCCAGGGCTCCAAATTCACGTTGCTATACTGGTGCAGCAAGTACTCTACCCACTGAGCCTTTGCAGCAGCCCCCATACTTCATGTATTCTAATGCATGCTTTTAAAAACACTTAACTTTTTCTGGCCCTGAGGCTAGGAATGTTCAGAAAGGATATTTCAGTAGGACTTGCTCATGGAGTGGAAGGCAGAGTCACTTGTGAAATGTAAATGTGGAGGGTTTATTCTGCCTCCAAGAGGACTCTTGGTAACAGTGAATTAAAAGGTCTTGGATGCTGTGCAGTCCTGAGTTTTTAAGTTCCATTTAAACTCCTACTCTGGAAAGCTACTGGGACTTCCAACTCCTGCTCCTTTTAGGCTAGATCAAAGCATGATGTCTTCAGGATGTAAAGCTCGGGCTCCAGATGACAAAGGCAGAAAAAAATAACTCTACCAGTACCAATGGACCTTTGGTAGCCATTCTTTTTGTTTTGGCAACAATGTGCCTAGGAAACATCAGTGATAATATTGAGCAAACACCATCATGAGCAGTCTGGCTTCAAAGGCCAGCATGAAAGAGAAATGCCACAGTTGGGCCTCTCGCCGAAGTGGCACCCGACACTGAATGTGCAGGCTGACAATAATCACATACTAACCATGTGAACTCCGCAACTCATCTTCCAAGCCAGGATAAATAGTCTTGTTGGGAGAATGAGCAAAGATTACAAAGAATCAGTACAAGTCCCCTTTATTGTAGTTACTATGACCTTAACTGACAATGTAAAAGCATATCTGTCTCCTCCTTGATATGCTTCCTGTAATTGCATTCTCTGGAGAGTATACCACTTATCATATGATATATACATATATATCTCGGTGGATATGTGCATGTTTGGGAAGGTAGATCAAGTGACAGGGAGAATATTTTGAGTTTATTACTACATGAAGCTTTAATCAAAAGTAATGAGTCTGCTAGATGGCCTCTCTGGATGTTTCCTGCAGCTGAAATTTCTGGAGTCAGAACCTACCAAGCCCCTCCCTAGTGAAGGCTGTGTAAAGTTGGCCCTGGCAAGTAGAGTGCCAGACAAGGGACGAAGGCTCTGCTTTGGTTCTCCATTGTGAAAAAAACCATCTGAGAAAATGGAATAGAGGCAAGAGAAATTATTATAGTATTTTCTGTTTCCCTTTAGCACAAGGAGCTTATGCAGCTGGGGACCCACTACTAAGCTGCATTCAGAGCAGAATAAATATAACACGGTCTTCTTATTTGTACCTCAAAGACACTAATACTGTAGTTAGACATGTACTGTACATGTACCCTCATTCGCATACTGAATATCAATGGAATGTCTTCCTGCTGCAGACGTCAAAGCTACTGTTCTAGTGTCCTTAGTCTCT